TCTATGGTACGCTTGTTTACAGCCGAGTTCGTAATGTGATATTTCGTATAGAGATCGGAGGGCAATCGGGAGACCCGAAGGCAAACTTCTGACTTGGAAAAAAAATTATACGCGCTGCATTTTATGATTCGTGACTCGCCCTAGGGCCTGGTTTTCACGAGTAATAAAGATTTAACAATACATCACCGCTACGGCACGGTAAGGTCACAGCGCGAAAGTACTGTGTTTTTTGCACAGTCATACGAAATCCGCTCTAATCGGTATTACGTGCAAAACTATGCACAAACAACTCCAAATTTGGTTTAGTTTTGAGATGTTACAAAACATGGAAGTCGAAGGTCACAGTCTCTATTTTTATTACAAGCTAGTGACTGACTGACAGCTGGCTTATATCTGTTTCTATTGGTGGGTTTGCTTTGTAGGAGTGTTCGACACAGCGTCTAATACCACGTCAAACCCATACAGAAGTCAGTCAAGAACAGATTTTGCGGCACTCCTTAAATTCTTCGATAGCTCACCGCTTTAGATCAAGACTCCAAACCYTCTATTTGAGGTAAGGCATACAGCTGACTTTATTTTACATTATGAAAACATCATTTCAATGTTATCATGAGAAAAAGGCATTCTTTAGTATCCCTTGTGTTTGCTTTCAACCAATGTCGTAAAATGTTAAGAAAATTTAGTTCTCTCACCATCGCGTTTATGGCAAACTATGCACTAACAGGAAACAGTGGAAGTCAAAGATAGTGATAGGAAATCAATCATGGAGTTGAACAAAAAGCGAAATCTTTAGTTGTTTTACGTTTTAAAACGCTATCGAATTAATGATTCTTATGTTTTGTTCTCTCATTGAGCTCTCTGACTCACTGATGTTTGTTTCTTTTCGACGTTTCGAGGCCATTTTGGTCGTCTTCCTCAGGGTTTTATTGCATAGATTGAATCTTTGTAATGAGTGGCTTCCAAAAATCAAAGTTGTAAAGAGTGCATGTTTCAAACCTTGCTATAAAACTCTGACGAGAAAAACAGTTTTTTGCGTTAATATTACATTGTAATCTATTATTATTTTACTTGTTACAGAAAATCAAGATGGCTACTGCTGGATGGTCAACAACTWCAAAAGAAAACACCAACTTTGCTCGATTGTGTAAATTACTCATCGATGGAGGAACTCATGTCCTTAGAAAGATCTTTGATGCCAAACATCCACCTCACGATCTAAAGAAACATTTGATGGATCGCAGAAATCATCGTATTTTGAAGAATTTGAAGACTACAAACATACTAAGAGGAGATCAATGGAGCAAACTTTATCCAAGTGTAGATGCTCCAACATCTGCAAGTTTTGATATTACTCTCTTAAGTCTACTGTTGCGCAATATCTGCAACTTGCCAACACCTGCCAATGGATGGAGTAACGAGCCCGCAGCGACAAGTATTAGTCAAGAAGATGATATTGTAAGGGTGAAATTGTACCGCAACAAACTGAGCCACATCTCTGAACGAGCGCTATCAGACGCTGATTTTAACAAGCACTGGAACGACATTGAAACTGTTTTGCTAAGACTTGGAGCAGACATGGCAGCCATTGATAGCCTGAGAACGCAATCAATGGACCCTGAAGATGAAGAATACTACAACGAATTCTTGAAAGAATGGGCCGAGAACGAGGAAAGACTATTGCAGGCAATCCTTGGATTAGAGGAAAAAATGGAAAACCTTCTAAAGACGTCACCCAGCACTAGGCCTGTGAGACCAACATCTGAAGGTAAATTTTAATTTGAAAAATAACATTAGATGATTATAAAATTTTCAGTAAGAATAATGTCGTCCGCATACTCTTTCGTATGCTTTCATGAACTTCAAGAAAATATACAACTATTTCAAAAAAAAAACGTTGTCAGGGAGAACGGAGAAAGGCGATTGTTGAAGGGAGATTACACGACCGAAAGGGACTATGGCTACACTGTTTTAAAAAACAAAATTCCACTTATTGGATTCAACTTGCATAGAAATGGAGACTAAATGGTGCCAAAGTTCATCACAGACTATCTTACAGTATAAATCAGGGTTTTTTTTTCACCATAATCTTTATTAGACAAATATTGGTACATACATTGCAACACTAGACAACCGCAACAACACAGTTGACAGTGAAAGAAATCAAGGAGAAGAACGAAAAGCAATGCACGGGGACAGGATGTTATGTTAATTTTTTACAAGATAGACCCGGAATAATTTTGCTCCATTTCTTTTCGTACTTCAATAAATTATCATTTGATTGGGCTATTTTGTATTCAATGTTTTATTGTAGTTGGGAAATTTTTAAGATGTCAAGTGTAGGAATTCTTTTCATGTTTCGGAACTTCTAAATAGTAATTCTATAGCATATAATTATATATAGTTCAACAAGATATCATCAACACCG